GACGGGATCGACTAGGCATCCAGGGACGACGGGCCGCACGAGATGGGAGTCGGGGCCGCGGAGGAATAAAATATCATTTTCAATCAGAAGATTAGGCCATTGTTGTAGAAGAAGGCGGGCTCTGTGGCTGGCACCACGCATCCCTAGTTTTTTGGGTTTGGGGAGGCATTCGAATGAGTGTCTGTAGATTATAGCGGTATCGGGGTCGGTACGTTGAGTGGATGAACACTCAAAACGGGTAGGTTGTAAAATCACCAATGTGTTAACTGACTCTGTGGGGGCAGGGGCATTGACGCCGGATATGGGAATGAGGCGTGAGAGTGCGTCGGCATTGCCATGACGGAGACAGGGACGGTTCAAAAATAACTGCAAAAAATTGCTAAATGTTGCCCCAAAAGGATAATTTCTGCTGACATTAGTACGACTTTCTACGTCTATCTGCGCACATTGTCAAATTTGCTTTTGAATTACTTTTTTTACGAAACTAATTATGTATGGACAGTGCCGTTCTGGCGCTAACAAATGTAAATTCCAAATACGTCCACGACCTCCCCATACTGTCGTCCTGACTCAAACTCCACGGCATATAGAATCATAATAGATATCACCACCAGTGTTTATACGTCTGATGCCTCGCCATCGTTCGCATCATTCAGCCTGCCACAACACCAACGTCGATGATAGCAACGAAAACAACCACTTCTCCCACTTCCACCACTACTGAGACCAATTCTGATGCCCCCGGCAACATCTATCTTCACAACCACCACCACCCCCACGACTGCACCACCATTTTCATCATAATTAAACATTGAACTCATGCATTGACCTGGTAAATTACCGCCAAATCCATCGCGCTGTTATTGCCCACATTCATTCACAGTATGCGCCTCCTAGGTCCCATGCGCCGTCACGGGAATCTGTGGTAAATCATTGCAGGTTTGACCAAGTCACCGCTCTTATCCTTATTAACTTCCATGCCATACACTACCACGCGGAACATAATTCAGTTTCCTACCTAGTTCACGTCGACGTCA